GAGTCGGGCGACAATGATTATGTTTTTTTCACTGGAGCATCAGTTAGGCAATATGTTGACGTAAATCCGGCGATTCTTTTTTCATATTTCAAAAACTCTTAGTTCATCTATACAGCACCCTAAAAGACTCATTGACTTTTACAACTTTTTTATAATAATTATTTTGTTTAAAGAATTGTCCATACAACTTAAGTTCTAGCAATTAGTATTATGACTTTATGTTTAGATGGTTTCAATTCAAGTATTATGGTAAAATTTTAGACAAATATATTTATTTTTTAAGATGTTTTTTATATATCTAAAATTGTGATTTGAAACCAAATCAAATTGCAAAAGGTGGTTTAGTTTGAAAAATAAAATAGGTTGATTTGGTTTGAAATGATTTTCAAAACGCTTAAAATCGTTTGATTTGAAATTAGTTAAAAAAACTATCCAAATCGAATCTTATTCACCGTTATTGATTAGTGGTCATCACCAACACCATCTACATATGTAAATACAAAATAATGGACAACATACATTTTTTTTTCTTTTTTTTGTAAGAATAAATTTTGTAATAGTGATTTTTTGAAAAAGTGGGGTTGAAAAGTAGGAAAAAGTTTTGGATTTACCTATAAAATTATTTTATTGAGAAAATGTGTAATTGTAAATGAGTTTGAAATAAAGTAAGTTCTAACAATCGAGGATCAAATATGGGCTAAATTAGAACATCAAAAGAAAAGAAACCCAAAAAAATAAAAAAAAAGAAGCTCAAACGAGTTTTGATAAGTTCAAGGCTCAAGAGGACAATTGAATCCCAAAATTAATGTTATCAAACTAGTTATCATCTTGTGAGAACATGATTTATGGATTCAAGGTAATCCAATGAGGTCAACTCGACTTATTGTCAGTTTAATTAATTTTTCTTAAATTTTTTGTCATAATTATTTTAAACAAATGAAGTTCTTGCGCAGTAGGCTAACTCTTGAGTTCTTTCGTACAATTATCAGATGAAACTGACCAATTCTCTGAAAGAGAGTACCTGCCATGCGCAGTAATAAATTATGTAGAAAAACTTTCCAAAAAAGCCCATTTGGATTTCAATGGAGGAAAAAGTGATTGAGGGTGGAATTGTAAATTGTTAAATAAAGTGGAGGGCATAACGGTCCTTATTTGCAACGGCTCTTTCTTTTGACTGACTGACACTGTCCTGCCAGATTAAAAAATTAAGAAGTACTGTAGAAAAAATTGAAAAGTGACATAAAAATGCATTTTAACGGGTGTCAAACACAGGCATATTTTAATTATATCATTTTATTTTGGAAAAATTGCAGTTACGGTATCAAATATTTCACTTTTATGCAAACTTGATCCAAACTTTTACTTTGTGACACCAGCGGCACCAAACATTTTAAAAATTGAAATTCAAATGGATGAAAACCATTAGTTTAACTGTTATTGACTAGAGAATTGATACTGACCATAATTTTGAATAATTTTAAAAAGATAAAATTGTAAGTTTATATTTTTAAATAAAAAAACACAATTATAATAACTATATTGATAAATAAGTTAAAAACAAAATTCAAACACAAAAATACCCCACCCCATCCCTTTCTTCTCCACCCTTATCCCAAAACCACTAAGATCGATGGTGGCGATGGCGCCATTGCCACCCATCCCACACCGGTGCCGTGGCTCCTTCCACTACCACTCCTCACTGTCGGAAAATGTTAAGATTTGCTTACCCATTACCAAAATCGTCGACACCCACAAAGCATCACCGCTACCAAAATTGTCACTGACAACAACATTTATTAACTGGGGCGTTTGTATTTCTCTATTTTTGTGATTCGGTGGACTTGGGCAGCATTAAAACCCACGAATCTTCTGCATAGATGAACAAGGTTAAATATGCTAAACAATAAGTAGAAATCCCGAGAATAAATCAATTAAAGGGGGGAGGGGAGAACAAGAAACGAGAATCGATTAGACCATGCTGCCTAGCAACAATTGTGATGAAAATAGTCGTGGGTTGCATTGTTGTCATTTCTATCTCTGTGAAATGTCACTTGGATCGATCGAAAATGGTGCGGAATTGAATATTGTGGAGTTGACTGCTCAAGTCGATTGGATCGTCGACGATTTTGGTGTTTTTGACCTTGTTTCCCACAAAGCATTTGTCATGGCTAGTGGTAAATTCCAGCGGTGAGGAGTGGTGGTGGAAGGAGCCATGGCGCCAACTTGGATGGGGCGGTGACGGTGGTACCAACGCTATTGTTAGTGGTTTTGGGATAAGGGTGGGGAAAAAGGGGATAGGTGGGGTGATTTTTGTGTTTGGTTTTTGTTTTTGTTTTTTTAATTTAATTTAATTATCAATATATTATATTATACTTGTGTTTTTTATTGAAAAATGTAAAGTTATAATTTTATCCCTTTAAAAGTCAAAATTATGGTCAATGTCAATTCTATGGTCAATTAATAGTCAAACTAACGTTTTCTATTCATTTGGACTCCATGTACGAATTTCTAAAAGATTTGATACCGTGGGTGCCGCAAAGTAAATGTTTGGGTCAATTTTGCCTAAATGTGAAATGTTTGGTACCATAACTACAATTTTCCCTTTTATTTTTATATAATACCCTTTTTGATACATATTATTGAGTGGATAATACATTTTAAATAGAGATTTGATGGAAAATATGTGGTTAAAAAATATAAAAAGTTTTGAATTTTCATGTAATATTATTTTATTGAAAAATGTATGATTGAAGATGAATTTTGAAAAATGAATTTTTATAAGATTGTGGATCAAACATGGTGTAAATATGAAAAAAAATCATCTATGTAAAAAAGGTTATTTTTAAATATTTTTGTCTCTAAAGGCTCAACCGTCAATTTTCCTTATTCAGACAAGTTTTCGTACGTTACAACCTTATTTTCCGTTAGCACAGATTCCCAATTTCATTCCGCTAACCCGTAAAATCCCCCTTTACGTCCGATTCTCCGTCTCAGCCGGTGGTTCGAAACCCTAACTTAATCGCCGTCCCAATTAACTCTAATCAAAAGCCGATTCCCGATAATGAACGGCGGAGTTTCGAGATTCGAGAACTCTACGCCTGTCAAGACCGGCGCTTTCACCAAATCTGCAATGGCGAACGACGTCGCATCGCTTAAGCCACCACCCCCGTTAATCATCGATCGGTTCAGGGGCATGTTGAAGGAGAGAGAGGCGGAACTTAGCGTTTTCAATAATGGAGGACATGACTCTGATTCGAACTTGGGTACCGATGAAATTGTGCGTCTTTACGAGATTGTTCTGTCGGAACTTACTTTGAATTCGAAGCCTATAATTACCGATCTGACGATGATTGCTGGACAGCAGAGAGCACATGGCAAGGGCATAGCTAATGCTATTTGCGGTCGGATTATCGAGGTATAGCAACGAGGGTATTTTTGGAATTCTCGACAAGTTGTGTAGGGTTTGTAATTGTTCATTCAATCGTATCAGTTGTATTGGGTGTAGAAGGTTTGAATTGTAGTGTTCAAAGTGCATAAAGATTGAAACTTTACCCTCTTCTTTCTTTCTTTCTTTTTTTTTTCTTTTAATTTTAAATTTTTTGTGGTTTTGAGTTTATTTATACATGAGTTTGTTGATCTAACAGTGAATGCAAAAATATCTATCACAACATATTCTGGGATGGGGGATATTGAAATCAAATTTTGGACTTTCCAATCAATCTATATTTGATTTTTAAAACCACCAATTTTAAGCTGCCAATGCAATCAAACTTGCTTAATAACATAAAAAAGATTTTGCAGTTTGAGTCGTAGAAGCTTCAGCATTCTCCAAGATGTCTGTATTATTCACTCTTGAATTACATTACAGAGGGAATCAAACAGCTGCAGAAAATTCACAATGTATAGTTTATTTATGCTAATGTTGGCAAGAACACGTATAAATAGATACATGGCTCTTGATTTTTCTTGTCGAAATGAAAGATAAGTATATTACAAGAGTTATACTGGAGATCAGAGCTCTATGTGGTGGTATTCTTTTTGATATCCCTCTGAAGAGTTCTTGTAATCTTATTCACCTGGCAAGTCTGGGCACTTTTGAAAGTTTATGACAGAAATTATAACAAAAAGTCTTAAGTAATATTTTATGGCTTGAACTTGTGTTCCACTAATGTCACTTAGATTGTGTAAAATGTATCTCAGGGTCCATTTTCTTATAGTCATTCAAGTTCCGATGTGCAAATTTTAGTATTCAGGTTCTTAACACTTATGAGTTTGAGTATGCATCATTTGAATTTAATATTCATTCTTGTTGGTCGAGTGGCCATGTGATATATAAGGCTGCAAATCTGAACTTAACGCCGAATTGTTGCTAAGCATCTAAATGAGTTGGATAAAACTCATTACTAACAATTATTTATAATTTCTGTCCAGAACTTTCATGAATGCCCTGCAATCTGCGGTAATAATGACCAGATGCTGTAACTAAGGATACAATAATACACAGATGTATTTTACTGCCTGTAGGCTGTAGCATTTGTTTAGTTTGCTTATATTTTTGTAGATAAATAGTGCAGGTTGCTCATTCATTTACTCAGTCAGCATGTGGATCTTTTCAATTTTAATAGTCAACAATGTATTTATATTTTTAGTCAAAAATTTTCACCAGGTTGTTTGTTGTATCTACTGCTATATCATAACTCATAGTTACTCTTGCCAAATATTCTAGAGGGACATCTATTTTCCATTGGATGTTTTGTACTTCATTACCTGATGTTTGTTTTTTCCAGGTTCCAGTTGAGCAAAAATTACCTTCGTTGTATCTTTTGGACAGTATTGTGAAGAACATAGGCAGGGATTATGTTAGACACTTCTCTGCACGCTTGCCTGAGGTAAATAAGTTAACTTGGTTCAGTGCACACACATTGTCATATGGTGTCATTAGCTCCTGTAATTTAACATACCTTTGATTTCTCATTTTCTTTTCGTTGCCAAGGTTTTCTGTGATGCCTACACACAAGTCCACCATAGCATGCGTCCTGCTATGCGCCACCTTTTTGGTACCTGGTCGACAGTGTTCCCATCATCAGTGCTTCGCATGATTGAGGTGCAGTTGCAATTTTCCCCTAGTGTAAATCGTCAACAACCTGGTTTGGCTCCCTTGAAAACTTCTGAATCTCCGCGCCCAACACATGGCATACACGTAAATCCTGAATACTTGGAAGCACGGCATCAGTTGACCATTGAAACAGTAAGATTTTAGTACATCAATTTATTAAAATGTACATAGAAAGCCTGTGAGGAAATCTATAATATCTTGTAAAACAGTCTATGCTGTTTATGATATGGAATGGCTACAGGAGCTGGTGCTTTCCCACTATTTTTTTACTATTATTTTTATTTGAGTTTTATTTGGACTCTAAGTTTGTATAATCACGTAGCTTTGCTACTAGAATTAGGTTTATTGTCCTAGGTATTTAACTTTCCTAGTATACTAGGTTTGGAATTTTCCCATTAGGGTTAAACTTTACTATTTGCATTAGGTTTTGGATTTTTAAAGTTCGTAGAGACTTAAAGAGGCCATATTGGTCTTGCAAAATATCAATTAAAGAACTTTATTTTCTTTAGTCTAGAAATTTTTTGTTCGTTTGAGATTTAAGTCTACAGAACCAAATCTCTAGTATTTTCTTTGATCTGTCCTAACGTCCGTTTGTTCTTTCGGTCTCTTCCATTATTTGTTGGTTAAGCTTGATACAGTGTGCCCCGTGCCTTCACTTGAATTTTTTGCTAACCCTAATTAAAGGAGGTGTATCACTGTATTGCACCTGATGGGAACCTAATCAACCATTTCTTTTGTTTAGATTTTTTATATTTGTGACCATCTCAAAATGCATCATCTGTAGAGGTACTTTAGTGTTGAATATAGTCTTCATACGAACCTATCACTGGCTATGATCATTTTTTCTTCTGAGTTCTGAGTTTACTGTGTTATTCAATTTGCAGGTTGGAGCCAAAGGTTTGAGCTCATCTGCCCGGGCACGCCCAGGCCATACTACTTCGTCATCACACCAATCACTTGATGAATTTGGTGTGGACAGTTATCGAAGGGTTACTGAAACGGCCTCACCATCTAATTCTAGATTTGAATATGGGCTTAACAGAGTGATGGGCCAAGAGGAGGAGACAAATAAACTGCGAGCAAAAAATTGGCATGGTGAACCTGATCAACGTCTTAAAAATGCTGCTGTACTTAATAAAGGAGTTGATCTTCAAGGACCTAGAGCCTTGATTGATGCTTATGGAATTGATCACAGGGAGAAAAATTTGAACCTTAAACATCCCAAGGTTGAGCAAATGGGCATAAATGGTTTTGACCAAACGACAACTTCCAGGACATGGCAAAATACTGAAGAGGAGGAATTTGATTGGGAAGATATGAGTCCAACTTTAGCACACCAGAGCAAGGACAGGTTTGCTACACAACGTGCTGCATCTTTGTTGACTGATTTCAGTGGCAACTCGTTAAATGCGCAATTTTCTTCCACCGCCGATTCTTCCATTGTTGAGGGTGTTCCCCCTGTCAGTGTATGGTTACTTATCTTAATCAGCCTATTTTTGTCATAGTATTCAATTCAAATATTTTTTATTCTAAAGAGGCTTTGTGCTGGTTCTGTAAAGATTTTAAGTACGATGTATTTGTTTGCTACCCATTTGTATCTTCTGTTAATTTCATGGATCTGAAAAGTTCTATATTGTTTTGTGGACTTATATTCATTTGATCAAAAGCCTTCTCTCTGCTCTATCTGGCCACTCTCGTCTTTCCTACTATGTCACAGTGTAATTTATTTTGTATATTCAATGTTCTTGGTTGATGCTATGACCTCTACATACATGTATATCCACCAACACCCTGACTTGATTGGATTCAGGAGCCCTGGCATATGTTCTGTTGAAGTATTTTATTCTTTGTTGTCTTCTTTTGTAACATGAAGGTCTGATTTTTCTTTCTTTTGCTTCTTTTTGCAGTCTAGAAATGGAGGAATTAGTAAGATTACTAGTTCACACACGGCCTCAAATCAGATAGCTGCTTCTAGTTATACCAGAGAATCATGGAATTTACCATATCAGCCATCGCAACATTATTTGAATGCCAAAGAAGGTAGCTTGCATTCAGGAATTGGAGCCTCTTCCGCAGCTGATGAGCAAAAGCCGCCTACAATTGGAAATTTCTCAAGTGTAGATGGACAGTTTTTCGGGTCGCACTCTGTTGTTGACTCTTTAGCTCCTGAGATTCGATCAGCTGATGCATTGGGGTTAACAAAAGTATGGCATCCTGCAAGGTTACAGAATTCATATCCATTGCCTTCGTATTCTGCTCTTCCTCCAGAAATGCACATCAGGAGTCAATTTCCTATAATGAATGCTGGCAATGTCAATATCAACAAGTCAATTCCTTATCAGCAGCATCTGGACAATACTGGTATGTCAATAAGCAACTTGCCTCGAGCTCACGGTCAACTCTCCCGACCAGTACATCCACATCTACTAGCACCTCGAAATCATGGATATGGTGCACAAGGACGTGGTCCTCCTATTGGTATAGCCTTGTCTAATCTAGTTCCAGTTTCGCAATCATCTTTGCCAATCTTCAATGCCCCAAACACATCATTTCATTTACCAGGGACAGCTATTCCAACTTTACCCAGGGGACCACCGCCTGGCACAACTCAATCAATACACGCTGGAAATACTGTTCAAGTTGCCCCCAACCCTCCAGCACAGGGTGCACTTTCGGGTTTAATTAGTTCTCTCGTAGCACAAGGTTTGATATCATTGACAAAACAGGTACGCATTTAGGTCCTCTGAATAGGATTAGCCTTTTGAATTCAAATTTTTATCGATAAAAGATTGTCACAGGATTCTGTGGGAGTGGAGTTTGATCAAGACCTTCTTAAGGTGCGTCATGAGTCTGCAATAACTGCTCTATACGCTGATCTTCCCAGACAATGCAAAACATGTGGCCTTCGATTCAAAAGCCAAGAGGAGCATAGGAAACATATGGATTGGCATGTCAACAAGAACCGGACTTTAAGAACTCGTAAGCTGAAGCCTTCTCCTAAGTGGTTTGTCAGTGTCAATATGTGGCTCAGTGGGGCCGAGGCAGTGGGGACTGAAGCAGTTCCAGGGTTTTTACCTGCTGATAATGATGTGGAAAAGAAAGAAGATGAAGAAATGGCTGTTCCTGCTGATGAGGACCAAAATGCTTGCGCATTGTGTGGAGAGCCTTTTGACGATTTCTACAGTGATGAAATGGACGAATGGATGTATAGAGGGGCCGTCTATATGAATTCACAAGCCGGATCAGCTGCAGGGATGGACAGGTCACAGTTAGGTCCTATAGTACATGCTAAATGCAGGTCTGAGTCCAATGCTCCAACTGAGCATTTTACAAAAGATGAAGAGGTAAGCTGTCTTAAATCATTTTTTCATTTGATATAAGTTTATATCTTGCTTACATCAGTATTGATATTTTCTTTTTCTTGTGATAAGTTTTCGGATATACATGAATAGGTCTTATGTGTTCTTTTATTTGGATAATTCTGATTGCATGTTTTGTAAGCTGATTCCTAGTTCATTTAAAGTAAAATATGCAATGGTGTTTGCCTTGAATACTGTACAAGTAGACAGGTAGCATAGATGAAAATAATAAGAGCCCATCATGGAAATGCTAGTTTGAATGCCCGGAACTTCAGCAGTTGTATCATCCACAAGCTACTTAAGTTTGATGTACAAAGCCGTGATGAATTATGGTCTACACAATGTATTTGCACGATGAATGTTCATGGCCACTGATCATTAGGTTGGATATGTCGCATGAGTTCTGTTAACTATTGTCCCTTTTCTATTTTTATCTGCAGGAATTAAGTGAAGAGGGTCTTCAAAGGAAAAGGATGCGGTGTTAACATCCTTAGATGTTTTATTTGAGCTGTGTAAATTAGTAATACATTTCTTCCCCGTTATAGTTCAGTTGATTAGCAACCATTTAGAATTGAGAGAGATTTGTAATTTAGTAATGCTCGAGTTTTTCTTGTACTTGAGTGCAAGTTTGATGCACTATATTAGACAATGCCAAACAGTTCAATAAACAAGATTTTAACTTAGGGCCTGTTTGATTATACTGATTTTCCATGGAAACTAGAAAATGGTTTCCTTTTTTCAACTTTAATTCTGTTTGATTGCAAAACAATTGCCTGGAATTTTTTTTCCCCACAGTAAGTGACGCGCCTCCTTTTCCATGAATTCGTGGAAATTGTTTTCTTTTGGTTTTGTTGGTTTTTCATTTTCCATCTTTTTTTTTTTTTGTGCTTTTTTTGTTTTTGTTTTTGTTTTTTTGGCAATTGGAGAAAATTCTAGACACAATGGTAAAAAACTTATCACTTTTATTGACAAATTTCATGCAAAACAAAGTCAAACGAATGGTATTCGGTATTATAAATGTTTTTAAAAAATAATTTTTTTTTTTTGTAATTGGAACAAATTCTAAACCCAATGGTAGAAAAAATTATCAAGTTAATGGACAATTTTCATGAAAAACAAAATCAAACGGATACCAAACTTTCAACATTTTTCAGGTGGAAAATTATATCAATCAAACACAATTAATTATAATTCCCCAGTAAAACAAATTTTAGGCAATTCAATTCCCAGTAAAACATTTTCTTTTCACCCATTTTCCACGTTTACAATTAAACAGACCCTTATTTTCCTTTCTTAATTCTATGAATTGAAATAACTCTTTAGACACAATATAAACATCTTATTTTATTTTTTCCGTTAGGACAATTCTTTACATTATATGGTGGGGATTAAAATCAGATTTTTAGTTGATTTTGATAGAATTTGATGAAATATGTGGTTGAAANATTTTTAGTTGATTTTGATAGAACTTGATGAAATATGTGGTTGAAAAGTTGTGAGGTCCATAAAATGTGGTTGAAATGAATTGTATACTTTAATTTAAATTAAAATCTATATTCAGCCAAGTCATCAAGTTAGAATAAAGAAGATATGCAACAAGCTACATCGTTTCCTAGTTCAAGAACATTGGGAAGAGATCGAGTTAGAGATCATGTTCAAGAGATGTGAGTAACATCGGATTCTTTGAATTGTGAGGGAAATGAGCCTCCTTCGAATATTGGTTGAGAAGGGGTCTCTATAGTTATCTTAGATGACTATGCCCCCTAGCGTTGTACTGTAAAGACTTTGCAAGCGAAATTGAATTTAGAATGACCTACTTCGAGAAGGAAACTGAATATTAAAGTAATCATTAACTACCTTAGATGTCATGATGACAGTCACAAAGTTTACAATTTTTTTTTTATCGAGGCTCTAAAAAGTGTAATTTCTACAATTACTCTAGCTCTTAATCTTATGCTTTTGCTGTTGATTATTTGGGGATTATGTTGTATCTTTTCATGCTTTTCCTTTTAGGATTAATAGTGGTTTTGCGATGAGTTTGAATGAAAATGTGCAAAGTGTGGAAATTCGAAAAATATAGGCATAACGCAAAAGATACAAGGGACGAGCTAAATTGAAGAAAAGAAGAAAATTAGACCCAGTAAAGTTGCATGCTCAACATATGACTCAAATTCAAGATTGAAGACTCAACTTTAATCCCTCTTTCCATTTTTATTCTTAATCCAGTGACATTGTTCTTAAACTTCATGTGTTTGTGCGGCCTAAAATTTAAAGTAATGCTGCACAAATTATTTGCTATAGCCAAAATATGTAAATACTGTCCAATCCAATGTAATCAGCGGCTGACATCTTCTTCCTACTACTATTGGATAACAAAGTTTTTCAATTTGATTCCTTGCGCCCACGTTTGATCTTGTCTTCTTGATACTTAAAGACCGTTGCAGCATCCTTGTCGCCCCGGCCACTGCAATTTACGACCACCTTAGTACCATTGGCTAAATCAGGGCAAAGTTTTTCCAGGTATGCTAATGCGTGAGCAGCCTCCAATGCCGGAAAAATCCCTTCCAGTCGGCATAGCCGTGTATATGCTGCTCGTTTTTGACAGAGGATGACACAGTTAGTTACAGAGTATATTAGTATTTTTCCACACAGAACGAATTGCATTTTATGTGAACTATATACTGATGCATAGTTGTTACCTTCCAGGGCTTCTTCATCTGTGACTGTGTAAAACTCTGCACGCCCAATGTCTTTGAGGAAACTCAGCTCTGGGCTAACCCCTGGGTATTCCAGCCTGCATATTTACCAATATTTAGATTAAAGTGTGGAAAATGGGCATTGATCTATCATGACTACGATACGTACAAGTCTTTATCTTAGAAAATGTCGGGTCCGCTATATAAATTCTTTTTATCCATAGCGTTCAGTTGATCGTTGGATCTATTAGAAGTCTTACCCGACACCTACTGAGTATGGTCCAATAATCTGGCCTTCATCATCTTGCAAAAGATAACTCATAGTCCCGTGATAAACACCCACTTCTCCTTTTGCCAAAGTTGCTGAATGTTTCCCACTATCAATTCCAATTCCAGCAGCTTCAACTCCAATCAATCTCACATTTTCATCTCTTATAAATTCATGAAACAATCCCAGGGCATTTGATCCACTCCCTACACAGGCAACCAGTACATCTGGCTCTCCACCCCATTTCTCCATAGCCTGTTTTCTGGTTTCCTTTCCAATCACAGTTTGGAATTCCCGAACCATGCTCGGGCATGGGTGAGGCCCGACTGCAGTACCTGCCAAGTAATAGCTGCCCTCTAGGTTTCCAACCCAGTTCCGGATTGCTTCTGACGTCGCATCCTTAAAAGTTCCGGCAACGGATTTGACCTGGATTCATTGAGTTGAGTCACATATTATTTATATGTCATGGCCTACTTAAAAAGGGAAATTAGAAAAGAGAAACTATTGCGAATTATATTGTAGTGGTTCTCCCTTAATATGTGAGCTATGTCCAGCTTTTTACTACTATTGAGAAAAGGAATACAAATTTTATCTCTAATCTCTTTTGTATATTGAGAAATAACCCTCTTAAAAATAGAATATACCGAGCCCCCGTTTGATTTAGCCAAAAATCAATTTTTGAGTAGACGTAGTAGAAGTTATGAAACGTGTGGTTAAAAAGTTGATGAAGTTGTAAGTTCAACGAAACATGTGATTGAAAATGAGTTTAAGAAAAAAATGAAGGCCAAATAGGGCTCAAATTTTTTCGAATTTCTTTTAAAATATAAAGGTAAATAAAAAGAAAGGTTGTGAAAGGGATGCTTCTAGTAATTAATACCTCAGCACCTAGATGTTTCATTAAGAGTACATTGGATGATTGTCTCTCCATATCTATCTTGCCCATGAATATTGTACAATCCAAGCCTAGTTTAGCACATGCCGCTGCCGTAGCAACCCCATGTTGGCCTGCGCCTGTTGCAGCGACGATTATTTTGCGCCCCATGCGTTTAGCGAGCATTACTTGAGCGATAGCGTTATTGATCTTGTGTGCTCCACCATGAGTGAGATCTTCTCTCTTTAGGTAAATCTCTGGTCCTTCTCCATTTTCATTCTTGTAATAACTAGTGAGCCTATCGGCAAAGTATAGAGGAGTTTCTCGGCCTACGTAGTCCTTCAGCGCTATCGACAGTTCCATCTAAAACAACATGCCATTCCATACGATGAATAAGATTTTAACATTCTTAATTATATAATGATGTCTAGAACATTACTATACTAAACAAGATCAACCATGTTTTCAAAATCGGCTTGAGCATTGAATTGAAAAAGTGTAGAGTCGAGTCAAGGTTGAAGAATGCAAGTTGAAGTTGAGTTAAATCGAAAGTAAAAAAAAAAAAAAAAGGTTAAAAAACACAAGTTAATCAACATGACTGCGTAACCAAAAGCAGACTGAGCCGGCTGATTTTGAAAACACTCATAAACATCTGCATTTACATGAAAATATTTCGACAAACCTGAAACTCAGGATCATGTAAAACCCATTTGAATTCAGCTTCAAGCTTCTTCAAACAAGTAATTAGTGTCTCTGGCACAAAAATTCCTCCAAACCTCCCAAATTTCCCTGAACTTGCTAATGTTTTTTCACATTGATTAATTAACCTCAAAATGTCCGAACTTCTTGTCGGATTACTCGAACAACTTTCATCTGAATTCAGTGTATTATGACCTATTGCTGAGCACACTATCAAACCTCTATCAGTTTGCGAGTGCATAGCAAAACCTAGTCTTTTCGACGAGTTTAATGACTCAGAAGTTGCACGAAAATTCACCCCATTAATGGTAATTGCTTTCAGATTATAGCAGGCCATAGTTTCTAACTACTTTTAGAGAGAGAGAATTTATGTGGTTGTAGTTCAAGATGAATGTTATGGTAAATGGAAACGGGAGAGGTACTTATTTATATACATGTGCAGTAGGAAACATAGGACCCAGTCTACTGTGGAGATTGGTGTCATGTCCTATTCGATCCTCACCTGTCATTGTACTATGAATCACAATCAACTCGATAAAAATGTGCGCTTTACCCTCGAGGAAATATCGTCTCGGTCGGTTTCTATTTGAGCAATAGCCAAGATGAGAAGCAAAACCTAAATTTATAAAGTCAAAACATGTGTCACACAACGATTTCATCGCTGAAGTTTAGATGGGTTTCGCCATTGAAAACTTTTTAAGTTCTACAAAATTTTTTTTACACCTTACTTCATTACTTATTAACAAAACCTACACAAAAGCAAACTTATAATGAGCTTAGCAACTTGAGTTTCATGGCTTCATGTTACAAAGAGTCTCGGGCTTGTTACGAATGAGAACATGCAATAATTTTGTATTTATATTTGTTTATTTGAAACATGATGTGAAGTCACACTCAATAAATATAGATCCTTCTCAAACGTGCCAAAATTCCATTGCCACACGAAGTTTTGCAAAACCAACGTGATTTTGGTTTTTCATAGAGACATCATGGACAGTTTGTTTTGGACGCTAACTGGCGGATTACTTGCCTTAACGGCACCTGAACTTTACGCTACGTTCTAATTTAGTACCTCACCTTTCAATTGTTTCAAACCTATCACCAAACTTAAGTTTTTGTTTCCATATCCATACCCATACCTAAAGTCTGACGCATTTAGCGAAATTAAAAACCCTCACTGACGAGGCACTTGAAGATATTAAGCCCCTTGTTTGGTCTTAATTATTTTCAAAATAATTTTTTTTTTCAACCATATATTTTTTAATAAAATAATATTACATGCAAATTTAAAACTTTTTCTTACTTTTTAACCACGTATTTTTAATCAAAATACTACTCTAAAATACATATTGGACAAAAAATGGAGCTCAGACATGCTCTAAATTTTAAACACAAAATTATCTCAACAGTAAATGAACTTTACACGCTATCATCTTTTTTATTTTTAATTAATAAAATCCGTTTCATTTTAATTTTGGTATGGTAATTGGCCTCTTCTGCCTATATTTTTGCTCAATTTGATTATAATTCTAAAATTTTAAACTTAAGTGACTAGTTTTTTTTTTTTTTTTTTCCGGGAATATATACAAAATCTAATAGGTGGAAAATGGGAAGTAAGAGGGGAAAAAAAGGTCTTTTAGAGGAGAGATTGAAAGAATCAACAGAATTTGATTTTTAATCCACTCATTTTTCTATTAAAACATTTTGAAATCGTGCTATTTGAACAAACAGGGCCCCCACCTATACTTGGCGCCCCGTTTTAATATGGCCATATTTAGGAAAATAATAGAAACTTCTGTCCTTGGTATGTACTTTCTTGTGGTTCATATACTTTTTGAGTTGTTCTGCATGTACAAGTAATCCCCAACGACAACTCACATGGGAGGTGGATAATTTTTATTTTATTTTATATTGAGGTGGGTCTGCAGAACAACTCATTTTTTGTTTCGTGGCTTCTATCATGTAGAGATATTTAAACTACATATTTTTTGTGTTGTTGCATGTGTACATAGATGAATTCATAGGGGTTTGCATAATGTGAGTGAGGTGGAGTCCATGCTACTGTAGCGTGGGCCCCACGTCATGTCAATCCCTATGTGTACACCTTTGTACACATAGCATTGACACATTTTTAAATTAGTGATAGACTTTTGCAAATTCCAGCTAACATCAAATTTAATGGTCTGTACTTTCAGAGAAGAATGAGCACACGAAGCAATAATGTCTATGAACAAATTAATAACCTGAGCACCTTTTGGTGCCGAAGTTATCCCCTGTGATCTTAAAATAACCTAAGAGATGGTTCATTTTGTTAATTATATATTAAATATAATAGTTGAAAGAAATACTTAAATTAGATAAGATGCCAAATTGGTAAAACGTGTCCACAGTTTGATATACATTCCACGCGAATATTAAAAAGTATATGATTGGGCCTCGGGACCTTGAGCTTCTTTGAATAAAATTATTTCTTATTTTAATTATTTCAGATTTATTATTAGTCAAACTAGCCATACAAAAATGATAGTTGAAGGGAGTTATTGGATGGTTAATCGAAATTATAAAAATCTCATAAAAATTGCAATTTTATCTCTGGTTAATCGAAATTATAAAAATCTCATAAAAATTGCAATTTTATCTCTCTCTCTCTCTCACACACACAAATCATTCTTCAAGTTCTACAATTCTAAATAAATCGATTTTAAAATCTTCTTCTCTTTTGAGATAATGTTCTAGATTACTATCTAGAGTTTAGTCGTTGTATCCTAAGAGTAGTTGTTCAAAGATGTCACGGTAGTTAACATTGGACAATTTTACTTTAGAATATCGTGCTGTTACAAGTCTCGATTCATAAGTTTTCTTTAGTATTCTACAAAAGTCTTTGCAATTAATTATTTTCCCACACATTTCAACCAGACTCCTACATCTGGTTATCGTCATCGCCACTGCCACTACCAGACAAGATACGTTCGTCGCTAGTGGTAGCTAGGTTGTCATCATCACCCATATTTCATTTACCCTTGAATGCTTCATAAATGTTCTGAGAAAGCATTGTGAAAGGCCCAGAAATACACGATATTAAAACAAGATTCCAGAAATCAGGACCAAAACGTAAATGATAAAGCAGGAATCAAAATAGAACACAAGATATGTTTTGGCCTAAGCCCCGGAGGTTCGGCGACCAGATCTAACNCCATACAAAAATGATAGTTGAAGGGAGTTATTGGATGGTTAATCGAAATTATAAAAATCTCATAAAAATTGCAATTTTATCTCTCTCTCTCACACACACAAATCATTCTTCAAGTTCTACAATTCTAAATAAATCGATTTTAAAATCTTCTTCTCTTTTGAGATAATGTTCTAGATTACTATTTAGAGTTTAGTCGTTGTATCCTAAGAGTAGTTGTTCAAAGATGTCACGGTAGTTAACATTGGACAATTTTACTTTAGAATATCGTGCTGTTACAAGTCTCGATTCATAAGTTTTCTTTAGTATTCTACAAAAGTCTTTGCAATTAATTATTTTCCCACACATTTCAACCAGACTCCTACATCTGGTTATCGTCACCGCCACTGCCACTACCAGACAAGATACGTTCGTCGCTAGTGGTAGCTAGGTTGTCATCATCACCCATATTTCATTTACCCTTGAATGCTTCATAAATGTTCTGAGAAAGCATTGCCTTCGGTAAATTGGCACCTGAGATCCCAGAATTCGATCGGCAGGTGGGGGAATTGAAGAAATCTCTCAATTGTTAACTGCTATTGTTTGTTGTGTTTGTGTGAAGAAATTTAACAGATATATTTTACCATTAGAGAGAGAAAAGGAGAGGAAATCTAACGCCGTATTATTGAAATTGTTTTAATAAAGGAAGTATTTTTCTTTATACGGCCCACCGAATGACTTCAACAATGTAAAGAGTAATTGAGCATCAAGCAAGTTTTGTCAAAATTTATTCTGAAAAATACATAATCAATTTGACAAATGAATCAACTGGTATCAATATTTATGTGAAAATCTTGTAGATAATTATACTAATACTTGACATTTGATTTGCAGACAGAGGCAACATTCTGTTCCTGGATGTACACAGATAAGTCACATGTGGTATAAGTGGTGACCTTTTTTTTCAGGATCTTGAACACCGTAGCCTTGCCATGTAAGGTAGCAGATGAAGTAAAATTCAGGCATCCGGTGGTGAAATCCACCCAAAAAGAAGGGTTTGACGTCAAACTGTCCACGATCACCACCACCGTCATAGTAATATCATGGCTGCCACGAGCTGGGATTGTGTCGTGCTCGATGGGAGCATCGGCTGCAGCCGTCCCTCGATAACTTATATAAGCTGTACTATTATCAAATTGGAAACTTCCGTAGTTTGGATTATCTACTGATACTACTATTCCTAGTGTAACATTCAAATGAAATGGAAATGGTATCCATTTTATGTAGTTTAAAGTGACAGATTTGGTGTTGATTTTGGGCTGTTTTGGCTTGAGTATGGTGAGGGATAGGACGAGCACCACCACGGCAAGGGTGGCTATGAGAATTGCGGTTGCGATGAGGCATATTTTTAGACCTCTGGGAATTTCGCAACACCCCATAGTTTTTTTTCCAGACTGTACATGGTAGTGAAATGTACATATAGAAGTATTGAGAAGTTTATGAAAATATGTCGAATGATACTTTGGATAATCAGAAGTTTGAATTTACAGTCCGCGAAAGACGGCAAATATGGAGATAGTTTCAATGCAAATTGATTTCAATGATGACAAAATTGTACTCTTATTCATTGTCCATAGACGGTTAATTTACGCGTGCATTATATTGAATCATCTGGATTAAAAGGCTGACATTATTAAAAAAAAGGATGAACAACATTCTTGACGGTTCCCACTGCCTTGTCCTGAGCCTTTGTGAAGGAGGTAAATCGCAGGTTATGCTTCCAAGGGTACATGATGGAAGGCTGCTTGTACACTTACATTTACCAAATGGCTAAATCTATATTTCAGAATTCGAATCCTTGACGCGACAGCCTCAATCAAAGTTGGAGTTCTTCCACTTTCCCCTTTTACCACTTGGAGATGTGTCCTGGGATCCCCAAAAAAAAGAAAAAAAAAAGACGCTGACATTATTAGGCACGACACCTACTTGCTTGTTTGTATTTTAGACTTTTTATCAAAAAGTAACAAATGTTCGCGATTTTCATAAATAAGTGACGAGGAGACTTGGAACTAATATCCTTGTTGGTTCAGATATTATAAAAAGCTGTCTCATCCAGATATTCCACATTTTATTTAGCCAATGATTTGTGGTGAGTTGATTTCATTAAATGAGATTGATGTTCAAAAGAAAAAAAAAGGAAATTTATTCGGAAGCTAGAAAAATATAAAGATGAAGAAAAATAGCAACACAAATTTACGTGAAAAACTTTCAAATCGAAGAAAAATCACAAACTATCAAACTGAAATATTCCATTATATTTATATAATCAAATAGAATATCCGATACACTCCAAACCTCGTTATTTTAGGAAAAATAATACTTCAAACTTTACCGCACCTACCAATTAATTCTTAATTCCACTCTTTGAACAACAAACAAAGAGAACATAAAATAAGAAAACCAATCATAAGAATTCAATCCCTATTTAATTAAAACAATATCAGGTAAAAAATCTTAACACGTTGGAACGTGTTGTTGAAAGTAAAGTTTAACCATTTAAAATTTTTGCAAACATAGTCTAAGTTATCAGAGAAGGACAGATTTAACATTTTAGTCTTCAACATTCTAAATAGAATTTTGCTACTTTACATTTTAACATCTTCTTTGACAAATGCTTAAGTGGATGAATTGATTAGATGGAAATGATGACAGTGTTCAAAACAGTTCAATAATAAACTGTCATGTGACATAATGTTAACTTGGATCATGCTACAAGTACATAATCATTTACATAATACATTACATAATTGACATGTGGCGCTCATCCATCAGTAATCTACAATTTTTGACTTTTCCACACTTCACATCCACGGCCGAATTTCTTCCACATGGGCCTATGTAATCCATTATGTACATATAGATTTATCATTCTTTTTATTTTCGCCGTTGAAAGAGTTTTTTAATATGACCGGATTTTTTATATAGTTGTTTGGTTTATTATTCTACTAAGATTGCATTTTGGTCTTAGCCAACATCAAAGAAAAAATCTTTTTGGGTTTCACGTAAAATTGAAATATTAATTAGGTAATAATTATTTTTTATCAGGTGATTACAATGATATATTTCTTGGTTAAAGTGATGTACTTATTCTCTTTTAACATATTTGTGAGGTTGAGTGCTTGTATTCTTGAGTTCTCACCATTAGAGGAATTGTGTTATCGAACCACTTGTTGCAGCCGCAAGTCCCTAAATTAAACAGGATGAAGATGACGAGGAAAAACTATGAGAATTGAACCACTTGAATAAGCATTTGAGTTCAAACTTCTTTTAAAGAAGGATCAAGAGGCAAAGGTAGTCGAGTAGGAAGAGGGCGAGGAAGAACTATGAGAATCGAACCATAGACCAAAGATGTAGAGGCCGATCGAGGAAGAGATCATACTACCGATTGAGGTAGAGGTTGAGGAACCTAATAAGAAGATTCCTACAAAAAATGCTAGAATTATGGCAGGTTTGACATATTCAAGCAGATTGTTGGTTCTAGAAGACAACTATGAAGGAAGCTGCAGTTCAGCGTTCGTGCACAAGGAAGAAATGAAGAAGATTTGTTCTTGGTGGCTTGGCCTGCAATGAAGAAGTAACCTAAGCTATTTAGTATGTTGATAGCGGTTATAGCAATCATATCACTGGAGATAAAAATATTTTTGCAGGATTAGATGAACATTTTCAAAAGAGGCGACGTTACAACGAATGGAGTTAAGAAAATTGTAGGTGTCTACTATGCTTCGTGTTCGAAACACAATTTGACAAGTGTAGGACAAATTATAGAAAAAGGCAATGATGTTCGCTTCAAACACATTAGAATCAAGTATCATTTTCTTAGCGATTTGATCAAGGATGATGAAGTTGTTGTAAAAGTCCTGGACGTCCTAGATCAACAAGCAGATATTTTTACAAAGGCGTTGAAGATTGAACAGTTTGTCACCTTGAAAGAGAAACTTGGTGTTTCACCAGTCTAGATTATGGGAGCATGTTAGAAAAATAAATAATCTAGACATAAATTTTGAGGCAGGTTCATGTACATAATATAAACTATACTAAATTTACTTTAATAATCTAACCTTAGATATGCAAGTGTTTATGAGTATTCAATGCACGTATGCATATGTATATTTTTTGTGTTGCGTGAATTGAGGTAACCTAATCCTAGTATAAATAGGAGAAGCCTTTAGTTTCTTTTAAAAAAAAAAATTTTAATAAACATTTTATATGATAAGAGAGTTACTCATTTGATAGAGAATAAACTTATTTCTCTTGTAACATATTTGAGATTACGAGTGTTTGTTTTCTTGAGAGCTCACCATCGTGTTTAATCAGGGACGGACGCAGAACTTAAAAGTTAGGGGGTGTATAATCGAACTTGCAAAGAAATTGAAAGAAATTTTACATCCAAAAAAATCATACCCCATGTAATTTTGCATCTAAAAATTTACATAGAATATGATCTTTTTAGATGTAAAATTTGAAATTTTTTTATGTCATATTTCATATAAGATTTTCTAATAAAATGATGAAAATTATATTAAAAAATTTGTATTGTAAAAATAATAAATGTTAATGAAATAATTGATTTTTTAAAAAAGAAAATGCGAGTTAAATGTTTTTCTTTAAAACTCACGTTTAACGTATTTTTAACTATTTTCGATATCTGTTTGGATTATTTGATATGCCTATAGTGTAGTTCTCGAAATAAGTTTTGAGATGACATAAGCAATTTGTAGATTCGATTAGCGTACGATCCTCGAAAATTTTTTAAAGTTAACATATTATTGAAATTTTGGAAATACTAATTTTGAACGGCTTACTTTGACAAGTCGTAGCATTTGTTACGATTGATAGTTTCGCACACCATTAACTACGCAAAAAACTAGAACGTAAACACTTCGAATTTATATTAAGAATGCAATATTTCACCTTTGTTTGATGAAAAATTAAGATTTTGTTAAAATGCGAGAGAAAAGGAGAAAAATTAAAATTTATTATAATTTTGCCCATGTTTGATGGAGATTAAAATCAAATTTTTAGTAAATTTTGATAAAAGTTACATAGTTATGGATTCAATAAAATATGTTATTAAAATTAATTATTAACTTTGATTTAGATTAAAATTTATATTTCAATC